AAGAAGAATGCAAGGTGTCTCGCTTGTGTGGGCTGTGTCATTTATCAACGTGCTACACATACAGCACACGTGGGAGTTAACCATGTCTTATATCTTTATCGCCATCATGAGCTGTTTTGATGTGTGAGCGATTGAGAGAGAAGGGAACTTTCTCCACTGTGTACGGCTGTGATAAAAGCTGACATTCAAAGATGACAATGGATCTGACAGTCATTATTGATCTTTAATGAACAAAAGGTGCTGTACAAGGCCACGACCAAACAATAGCAGAGTTTTTAAAAGAACAAAATAATACTCAAAAAAATACAAAAATAATTATAATTTATAGGAAATTATTTGATAGTAAAACAAGATATTGCATTTCTATGGATTAATTATAGCATTCAATATCCACTATATGGTATTACACTTAAAAAATAGATACAATAACTTTGAAGTGTTTCAGAGCTCAGTACATATATATATATATATATATATATTTATATATATATATATATATATTATATATATATATATATATCCATCCATCCATTTTCTACCCTTTAATCCATTTCTGGGTCAGGGGGGTGGCAATCAGAGATGCCACCCAAGTCTCATAGCACCAGCCCCTCACTGACCCTCTGCAGGTGGTGAGTCCACAGGAGGACGGCTGCTCTCTGAGTGTGAGCATAGCCTTGATCTTTCAGCGGGGGCTTTGGGCAAAGTGGGGTTAAGTGTCTTGCCCAAGGACACAACGACAGCAGTCATCAGTGGGAGTCGGTGGAGAAGGTGTAGAGGTGGGAATTGAACCCACGACCTTCAATGCTCTACCAACTGAGCTACTGTCGCCTATATATATATATATATATATATATATATATATATATATATATATATATATATATATATATAATTCATAACAAAACTAACCAGTATTTAAAAAAGGGGTCTCAAACTGGTTCCAGAAAGGGTAACTGTGGCCGCAGGTATTATTCCAACCAAGCAGGAGCACATCAAACTCCATTTCATCAAGTTCAAGTTCAGACTGGGCTCAAGCGAGGAAATGGTTGGATTTTGTTGTGCTCCTGCTTGGTTGGAATTAAAACCTGTTGCCACACAGCCCTTTCTAGAACTGGTATGACACCCCTGGTTAAGATGAGAAACTTTTTAGGCTGAAATTATAATTGTATTTATTCTATGATTGTATTGATTCTTATCTAGAGTGTTGGGTAACTGTGTATAATATCATCCACTGTATCCAGGTGTTTACTGGCGTTACTGGTTGTTGCTGCCCTGGTGCCTGCTGTGACAGGATTGGCTGGGGTCACTGTGCTGCTTGTTGCCGTGTTGTTGTGCATTACTTTGCTACTGGCTCCGAACACACGAGTGTAAGTGTGATGTGCAGGGGTGGGAATTTATACGATTTTTTTCTTCCTCCCACTCCTTTTCGGGTTTGAATGATGTCAACATTGTAACAAGTAACTGTAAATGAGGTACATGAACTCGAAGTAAATAAACACTCAACTCAACTCAACTCAGGTGCAGTTACCAAAAGTGTGGCAAATACAAAACAATTATGGTGTGTAGATGGGCCATTTTTCCTTCTAAAATGAATGCAAATGCCAGTATGTAATATGTTTAAATAGATTAAAAATGATTTTAAATTAAATGGTTTAATTGTGATTTAATACCATAAAATACAGAAGAGATAAGTCAAGATAAGATAAACTTCATTGATCTCACAATGGAGACATTCACGCGTCACATTTGGCCTCTAGTATCACTCAGATTTTGCAAAAAGACAGAAGTGTGCAACATTTTAAAGGTTAACAATATTGTCTGTGCAGGATACAATTATGCACAACAAAAAGTGGGAGAACTTACTGTAAATTGATCAGTGCAATGGAAAGTATTGTTGCTTAAATCATACTTTTCTTTAACAAAATGCAGTTAAAGTACCATTGCTGCTTACAGTCAGCCGATCCCTCTCACCTAACAGGGCGGGTTTTTTGAGAATGCAAACCTCCTATTAGTTCTAATCAGTAATCTATCCTGTTTTCTGTATATATCCATATATTTCTCAACAGGAACAGGTCTCATCCAGAAAGCTGTATACGTGAACGGTGCCATGCAGAAAACCACAACACCGTAAAGACCTTCCATCCAGAGCTTAAAGATAGATTGATTGATGGGTTTAAAAAGAGCGGTTGTCGTCAGAACTGCATCAGACGTGCTCGTGTTCAGTGAAGCCTCAGTATAATTCAGACTTGCAGTTTCTCCTTTGATCCCAGACAACCATGTCATTAAAAAAAAGGATTTCTCTGTCAAGTTTTCCTTTGTTTATTATTGGAAGCAAAATGGTCGTGAAAAACATAATATTGTAGAAGGAAGCGCCAATGAAGGGAGGTAGACTATAAGAGGATCAACATCAAAGAGGCCAAGGCAAGGGGGAAAAAAAATTCAAACAAATTAACGGCAGTCTTTCAAGTTCATTGTTCTGTGTGTTTTAAGCCCATCCCTTTTGTAAGAATTGGCAGCCTTACAGTAGCAATTCACCTATTTTGACCTTTTTTGTTGACTTTCTTTTTTCATTTGTTGAAGAAATGGTACAATGATATACACATTTTCATCCAACATTATTACGTCTGATAAGTAGAAAAGCATTAGAATGTTTTATAACATCAGCCTTGTGTTGCAGCTGCTCAATCATTCTGACCCAAAGACCCCATGTTACGCTGACAAAAGGTCTTTCTATTGATGTGCAATTTAATCATTTGAATGGTTCCAGGCTTTTTATGGAGAGAGGGTGCTTGATGGGGACATGATCTGAAAACACGGCACTCTTAATTGGTATTGATTTTTTTGGAGAACCTTTTTTGAATCGCTAAATTGTGTCCAGGCATCTCACAGCAGCTGTATTAGTGTAAAGAGGTTATAAGACTCGAGCGGAGTCCTGGGAACCAAATGGAGACCAATTGGAGTGTTCAAGTTTGTAAATGTATGTGTTTGTTATACATGCAGTAGTATTGAGCTATAAAGAGATTCATAGATAGAATCTTAATATTTCAATTAGGTTCAATGACTTCTGTTCAAAACCACATAACTGAGAAATCCCTGATTCCCATAGTGTTGTATCTTTCATGTATAAAGAAATGTATTAATGAATGATTATAAATGTCATAGTGCTTCAATGATATCACACAGGTTTGAGACTGGACCTTTTCAATAAAAGGGGCGGAGTCACGTGTTTGTGCCAAAATGTCAATCAATCAAAGGTTTTTTTTTTTTATACAACAAATGCAACACTCGACCACTGCAAACCACATATACACACACACACAGACACACACCTACACCTCCACCCACACCCACACACACATACACACACAGAGACACACGTCTACAGCCACAAAAATCAATTGGTGAGTGTTATTTAGAATGTCAATAACATTTGCAGACACTTCAGGGTTAAAAAAAATGCAGCTTAAAAAAATAATTTTATTTGTTGGGCCATGGTGTGCCACATAAACCCCAGGTCGTTTTTTTGGACGCGGGAACACAGTTGTAACATGGTTAAAAAACTCCAAAAAGTTGTATTTTTGCACGTCATGTCTCTTAAACACTTACCCAACTTGGCAATTTTAGTACAAAGAAGAAAATGTAATATCGGCGTAAACACTATCCATCATGGTAAGTGCGGTTATGTTAGAAGCAGCTGCTGTTTAACAAACCGCTTGAGTGTTCAGTGTCTTTATTGGGGCCTTTCAGCAGAGACCTTCAGGTAAATGAGCTGGAGCCGCCACATCTGCAGCTTTATCAGCCGTATGTCTCCACGGATACACACACATCCACTTTCAATACTTTTTATTACTGTAAATCAAATCAGAAGGAAATTAATCATCTCAGTCTTGCAGGAGCACTCAATGCCCACGTGTAATCACAGAAAATCGTCAGATAGAAACAATTACAAGCCTATTCATATCTTGTTAAATACTTTTTTCAGACACGAAACGATTGGTTGAGTCATAGTTCTGATTACACTAAACTAATGCGTTAAGGTCTATTAGTTGCTCGTGTATTGGTTCAATGCGTCCCCTGTCGACAACTAATGGCAAATAGCTCCTACAAACGAGATACCGACGCAGATGAGGTTAGCCTTATTTGTCGAGGGACGTTGGATTTAATCAAACTGAAGTACTTTGGATTTGAATTCAAGTTAAGATTTTGTTGGTCTTGTGATTACAGTTTTTCTCTATTGCTTAAACACATTTCACGACACTGCCCTACCTTTTCTCAAAACTCTATACACAAACCTCTTTTCTAAAGCTACGTACACACAACAACACAGTCTCTTTTCAAAACCGACTCATCACACCAAAACAGTTTCTCATATTCTCAAAACCAACCCATCACACCAAAACAGTTTCTCATATTCTCAAAACCGACTCATCACACCAAAATACCTCTCATGGTCTGCAAAAATGTGAACACTATGAGCATCATTAACCACTTCTCCAAAACAATTGAAAACACAATTTTCAGAATGTGAGACTGTTCTTTTTACAGTTTCACACCTGCCAGGATGCATTTGAGCAACACTTTTTTATTCTCAAATATATTTTGGCCATTTACTATAGATTTGTGCGTTTTATGAGAATAGTTACAAAAAGTAGAAAATGCAGTTATATCACAACTCAATGCAAACCTGAGTAACTCTATGGATCCATGACACACAAAAGATACTACAGTACAGGAACAATTGAATCAGAATCAGAATCAGAATCATTTTTATTGCCAACGTAAGTAACGGGAGGTCACAGACTTGGAAATTGCTTTGGCTCAGTGCAACAGTCAAAAAGAGATAATAAAAATAAGAATAAAAAACACTTCTAAAGAATAAATTTAAATTTAAAATAGAGTTACAGTTACTATTTACAATATACAAGTACAAGAAAACACAATGTTTAGGGCAGTGCTTCTCAAATAGTGGGGGGGCGTGGTGCGATGACAGGGGGGGCTCACTATTTGGAGGGAGTGCCCCCCCCCCCCCCCCTCTCACGGGAGCGCGCGTGACTGTGGGACACTTATTATTTTTTTATGTACGTGGAACTGGATTCCACATGCTCTGGTGCTACAAGGGACTGATTCCCATGTGACCGGCGCTGACAGGACAAGTGCGGATCTTTGCGGAACCTGTGGACGCAATAAATCCACCGCGAGAGAAACACAGCTGAACTATGTGAGCCTCTGGAAGTGTCCCTGCATGAATCCACCTGACGCCCTGAAACTACAACTCACTAAATTAAAGCTGGGGTACCTACATTTCCCGTGCATTCATAATACATGTTGCTCCTCTCCCTCCTTGGTCTGCTCCTCTCTTTGACCTGTTCCTCTCCCTCCTTGGTCTGTTCCTCTCTTTGACCCGTTCCTCTCCCTCCTTGGTCTGTTCCTCTCCCTCCTTGGTCTGCTCCTCTCCCTCCTTGGCCTGCTCCTCTCCCTCCTTGGCCTGCTCCTCTCCCTTCTTGGCCTGCTCCTCTCCCTCTTTGACCTGCTCCTCACCCTTCTCGGCCTGCTCCTCTCCCTTCTTGGCCTGCTCCTCTCCCTCTTTGACCTGCTCCTCTCCCTCCTTGGCCTGCTCCTCTCCCTTCTTGGTCTGCTCCTCTCCCTCCTTGACCTGCTCCTCTCCCTCCTTGGCCTGCTCCTCTCCCTTCTTGGCCTGCTCCTCTCCCTCTTTGACCTGCTCCTCTCCCTCCTTGGTCTGTTCCTCTCCCTCCTTGGTCTGCTCCTCTCCCTCCTTGGCCTGCTCCTCTCCCTCCTTGGCCTGCTCCTCTCCCTTCTTGGCCTGCTCCTCTCCCTCTTTGACCTGCTCCTCACCCTTCTTGGCCTGCTCCTCTCCCTTCTTGGCCTGCTCCTCTCCCTCTTTGACCTGCTCCTCTCCCTCCTTGGCCTGCTCCTCTCCCTCTTGTCCTGCTCCTCTCCCTCCTTGGTCTGCTCCTCTCCCTCCTTGACCTGCTCCTCTCCCTCCTTGCCTGCTCCTCTCCCTTCTTGGCCTGCTCCTCTCCCTCTTTGACCTGCTCCTCTCCCTCCTTGGCCTGCTCCTCTCCCTTCTTGGTCTGCTCCTCTCCCTCCTTGACCTGCTCCTCTCCCTCCTTGGCCTGCTCCTCTCCCTTCTTGGCCTGCTCCTCTCCCTCTTTGACCTGCTCCTCACCCTTCTTGGCCTGCTCCTCTCCCTTCTTGGCCTGCTCCTCTCCCTCTTGCCTGCTCCTCTCCCTCTTTGACCTGCTCCTCTCCCTCTTGGCCTGCTCCTCTCCCTTCTTGGCCTGCTCCTCTCCCTCTTTGACCTGCTCCTCTCCTCCCTGCTCCTCTCCCTTCTTGGCCTGCTCCTCTCCCTCTTTGACCTGCTCCTCTCCCTCCTTGGCCTGCTCCTCTCCCTCTCTTGACCTGCTCCTCTCCCTCTTTGACCTGCTCCTCTCCCTTCTTGGCCTGCTCCTCTCCCTCTTTGACCTGCTCCTCCTCTCCCTTCTTGGCCTGCTCCTCTCCCTCTTTGACCTGCTCCTCACCCTTCTTGGCCTGCTCCTCTCCCTTCTTGGCCTGCTCCTCTCCCTCTTTGACCTGCTCCTCTCCCTCCTTGGCCTGCTCCTCTCCCTTCTTGGCCTGCTCCTCTCCCTCTTTGACCTGCTCCTCTCCCTCTTGCCTGCTCCTCTCCCTCTTGGCCTGCTCCTCTCCCTTCTTGGCCTGCTCCTCTCCCTCTTTGACCTGCTCCTCTCCCTCCTTGGCCTGCTCCTCTCCCTTCTTGGCCTGCTCCTCTCCCTCTTTGACCTGCTCCTCTCCCTCCTTGGCCTGCTCCTCTCCCTTCTTGGCCTGCTCCTCTCCCTCTTTGACCTGCTCCTCACCCTCCTTGGCCTGCTCCTCTCCCTTCTTGGCCTGCTCCTCTCCCTCTTTGACCTGCTCCTCTCCCTCCTTGGCCTGCTCCTCTCCCTTCTTGGCCTGCTCCTCTCCCTCTTTGACCTGCTCCTCTCCCTTTTGGCCTGCTCCTCTCCTCTTTGACCTGCTCCTCTCCCTTCTTGGCCTGCTCCTCTCCCTCTTTGACCTGCTCCTCTCCCTCCTTGGCCTGCTCCTCTCCCTTCTTGGCCTGCTCCTCTCCCTCTTTGACCTGCTCCTCTCCCTCCTTGACCTGCTCCTCTCCCTTCTTGGCCTGCTCCTCTCCCTTCTTGGCCTGCTCCTCTCCCTCTTTGACCTGCTCCTCTCCCTCTTTGACCTGCTCCTCTCCCTCCTTGACCTGCTCCTCTCCCTTCTTAAACTCCTCTTCTTCTGCCTTGATCATCCATTTTCTTTTGGAACCTGCACTGACTTATAAAGGTGTGGTCACATCATTTGCAACAGGAGTTTTCAGCTCTGAGTGGTTGTGCTTTCTGAATGACACCAGGTTTGTTCATTGTGTTCAGGTTTTGCTGACAGTGGGAGACATTTTTCATCACATGAGCCTCACAATGATTATAGGTGCAGAGATACATGCAAAAAGTGTTTTAGCAAAGGAAAAATGTGTTTTATCAAAGGAAAAATTTGTTTTAGCAAAATAAAAATGTGTTTAGAGTTTTGAGAAAAAGGGCATGTGTTTTGTGAACAGTGTCTACAGGAGAATTGTGTTTATGGTTGTGAGAAGTGGGGAGAAGTTTTAATAAATGTGTTTAGGCAATTGGTCATTTGGTTTAGAGTACTGGGTTTTGTGTTGTAGCAATAGAGAAAAACTGTAAAGGAAAAGATTTAAGGGGGAACTCAATGTGTTTCTGCTGTTTCTATTGGTTGGATAAGCTGTTGCCCTGGCTCTCATTCAGTAGATGTTGTATGGTCTTTGCATTTGCGGCATTCGTTGGCGGGACAGTGTCTCTCAGACAGCCTGGGAATTCCTCGGTAATCCCCCAAATGTGCTAGAAGTGTGCATTTGACCTGGCAACAGATACAATGAAAACGGATGGAGCCTAATTTTAAAAATCCTTAGACCAACAACTTAGAAGAAAGGCACACACATACTGTATGTTTTAACAATAATGTATTCTGAGTTATTTAAAGCTAAATTAAACATGCTCATTTTAGTTCACAATTTATTCATTCAGTTAAAAGTATACACCTGTCACTGACTCCCCCGAGGAGTCCATACATTGAGGCTTTCCCCAGACAGCAACACAGGACAAAGGGCTTCAGTCCAGAGTCTTACATTAAAACAGAGCAACGTTTTTCATACAAATAAAAGTGAGAGTGAGACAAATCAGCAGTTACTCACAGGGCCACCCAAACTACTCACATGAACCTCCTCTCTTTGAAGCACCAAGACCTATAGTAGTATGACAGCTGGACTGACGTCGAGTGGGGCTTATAGCGATCGACCAAACACCATAAGGATTACGACAGGTGCTTATGCGGCTGAGCCATGTTCTGACCAGAGCGACACCACGGATTTAAAAGCACCGCAGAGTAAACGAAGAGCAGGACGCGTGATTAGCTCATTGGAGGAGTGCCCTTTTGAAGGTAACACCTGGTGGTCGAAATTAGCAGGTACATGCTTCCACTTGTTTGTTAATTGCTGCAGACGAAGCAATACAGTGTTGTATGGCTTAAATGGGGATATCCAAACTTTAGTTCACCAAAAAACGACAATCGGAATTGTTTCAAAGTCAGGCATGACATGTTGCTATTGTTTCACGTTTGACAGAGCTGAAGTTGGTTGAAGGACTTTCTTGCTATAGCTACATTTGCACAATATACTGGTTCTACGTCATGGTGCTACGTCCCTTAGGACTTCGCTAGTGGGATATCACTCGTGACCCCCAGGTCACACGCCAGAGAGATCAAAATAATTTGCTCCAATCACCAGCCACCTTCCTCTATAAATGCCCCTGCACAAGGCCGCACCCCCTCTTTCACTCTGGCGCCGTTTGAGATCTACCACAGTACTTACTTCATTCTGAGATGTCTTCCTTGTTCGTCCGAGTTCCCTTCGCCCTCCGGCGTCGGACGTCGTCACTGGATCCAGACGGTGGAGGACTTCACCTCTGTGGGCGCCACCACTCGAGGGAGGAGGAGGATAAAACCCACGTTGTGCCCGCGGATGGACCCGTTCGTCCATTACGCGACACGTGAGTGGCCTAAGCCCCTAGCAGCCAAGAGGCCTGCTCTGGGGTACGACATATACTGCAGCGGGCAGGACTGGTCCTGGACCGGTGATCGAGGATTCAGTCCGCATGGCCCTGCAGCCCTCCGCATCCGTGGGGCCCGGCACCAGACCTCTCCTTCCCTCCGAGCGGGACAGGATGTCTTGCCGAGGCTGGATAGATATTATGCCAATGCGGCACAGGTCGTCACATTGGCTATCAACATGACTTTCATCACGGGGGCCCTGGATAGGGCGCTCTCCTCTGGCCAGGCGCTCAGTGGAGACCTCCCGTCACAGGCGAGGACCACCTCGGCGGCGTTCCTGCGCATGTGCCAGATGCTAGCCGTGGATGGTGGCCAGGACACCGAGGATTCAGTCCGCATGGCCCTGCAGCCCTCCGCATCCGTGTGGCCCGACACCAGACCTCTCCTTCCCTCCGAGCGAGACAGGATGTCTTGGCGATGCCGGATAGATGTTATGCCAATGCAGCACAGGTCCTCGCATTGACTAACTACATGGCATTCATCACGGGGGCCCTGGATATGTTGCTCTCTTCTGACCAGGCGCTCAGTGGAGACCTCTTGTCACAGGCGAGGACCACCTCGGCGGCGTCTCTGCGCATGTGCCAGACGCTAGCTGTGGATGGTGGCCGCTCCATGGCAGCAGCCCAAGTCGGGCCAGGCACCTTTGGCTTGGGCTGGCTAATATCAGGGAGGCGGAGAGGAGGCAGCTGCTGGACCTGCCCACCTCTCAGATGTCCCTCTTCGGCCCGGACATGCAGGCCTGGGTGGCGAGACTGGAGTCTGCAGCTAAAGACTCGGCTAGGCTAGCCCCGCACCTAGCACCGAGGCGCGAGGCCCACCAGCCATTACGGAGCCGGGACAGAGGCAGAGAGCGTTGGCCCGGGAGGCATCCTGACCCGTATCCGCGCTCTGTTATCCATCGTCCCCCCTCGACGAGGCCCCCGGGTCCAGACAGACCCATGGGTGGCTCGCGGGAGCAACGCACCCACCACCGACCTCCCTATGGTAGAGGAGGCCGGGGTGGAAAAAATTTTCCTTCAATAAAGGCCGACCGGCATTTCCATTACTTTTCTGAGTCTGATTTGGGGGTATGTAACATGTCAAATATTGTGAATTCTGATTGTGTTACTTCCCGGGCACATAACGTTGCTTCGCTAGGCCTGTAGCCCCAGAGAGGGGCGTGCAGTGCACTACGAGCTCCGGTTTCTCTGATCCATATATGCCCTCCCAGAGGGAGGTCAGGCGGAGGGATCTGGTGAGTGATATGTGTGTGCTTCGGCCGAACGCGTGTTAGCATTTCTGAGCTACAGGGCTAACACGGGGTTTCCCACTCCAGGGGCTCGCCCCCCCCTCCATGAGGCAAGAGCCAGGGGGGGGCACAGCAGCCGAGTCACGTGTGGTGAGCAGTCCCGTACTTATGACGTCGGGCCTGCAGGACACGTGACCGCCCCCGGCGCTCACGGTGTGACGCAGGGGGCCCCCCGGTCCTTTCGTCCACCCCCCCTCCCTGCTAGGAACACTAGGAGAGGGCGGGGCCGTGACGTCTCGTGTTCCAACTCCCGTTCCGCCCCTCACAGATTTATACAACATCTGGAGGGAGCAGGGCCTACTGACAGATATTTGGCTGGAGAAAACTCTGCGCAGAGGTTACGCGCTGCAATTTTTCCGAAAGCCACCACCATTCCGAGGCGTACGGGCAGTACGCTCTCAGGTACGGGGATCGACAGAGGCACTACAAGCGGAGGTCTCCTCTCTGCTGAGTCGAGGCGCAGCAGTGGAGGTAGACCCGCAGGACGCCACCAGGGGGCTGTACTCCCCTTACTTCTTAGTGCCAAAGAAATCAGGCGGGGTGCGTCCCATTCTGGATCTGCGCGTGTTAAACGAGTGCATTTCCAAGCGGCAGTTTCGGATGCTGTCCACAAGGCAGCTCCTCGAGTGTGTCAGGGAAGGAGACTGGATGTGCTCCATAGACCTGACAGATGCGTACTTCCACGTGCCGATAGTACCGGAACACAGGAGGTTCTGCGCTTCGCAGTGGGAGAGAGGAATTACGAGTACTGTCGTTTTCCCCTTGGGCTACGCACTCGCGCCGTGGAGCAGGGGTAAGAATTAATCTACATAGACGTCGGGTTAATTCTGGCCTCATCCAGGGAAGTGGCCGTGAGTCATACGCACTGGGTCCTGTCCCACATACAGCGCCTGGGCTTTGTGGTTAACAGGGAGAAGATTAACAGTTACCTTTGTAACTTAAGTTCTACGAATAGGTGCACGTGATATCCCACTAGCGAAGTCCGCTAGGGGACGTAGCACCATGACATAGAAGCAGGCTGCAACCGGCTCAGCGCATGATCTATCTCGGTCTGCAGCTAGACTCTGTGACATTCCGTGCTGCATGGTCCGTGGACAGACGGATGAACACTACCCGTCTGCCCGGGGAGGTTCTGGCGGGCCCCAGAGTCCCCGCTCAGCGCCTCAGGTCCCTGCTGGGAATGATGGCGGCGGCTCATGCTGTGGTGCGGCTAGGCCTTCTCCACATGAGGAATTTTCAGAGGTGGTTCTTACGCCTCAGGCTTCACCCCTCCCGGGACGGGGGGAGGCTGATCTGGGTTCCCCAAGTGGCAGCATCGAACATCAGGTTCTGGCTCACTCCGGGTCTTCTACGGGACGGAGTGACTCTGACCGGCGCCGTGTCTCACGTGGAGATGTTCACGGACGCGTCGCTCGAAGGATGGGGCAGGGTCCTCGGCCAGAGTTCTGTAGGAGGCTGCTGGTCGGACTCAGCCCGTCACATCAACCTGCTGGAGATGGAGGCAGTGCACAGGGTACTGCTGCACTTTGCTCCTCAGCTGCAGGGGAGACACGTGATGGTGCGCTCAGACAACACCACAGTGGTCTCCTATCTGATCAGGCAGGGGAGCACCAGGTCCCCCGCTCTCCATCGCATGGCAAAGGTGACGCTGCTGTGGGCGGAGCTTCACCTCCTGTCTCTCAGGGCGCGCCACGTCCCGGGGGTCCGGAACGTGGGGGCCGACAGGATGTCCAGGGGGGGCCCACTCCAGGACGAGTGGGGCCTGGCCCCAGGGGTGGCTGCGGAGATCTGGCGGAGGTTCGGCCGTCCAGTGGTCGACCTTTTTCGCCAGTGCAGGAAAC